AGCAGCATATTTTCAAGTACCATGTCTGATGGGGCAAGGGAAACAACAGAAAAAATAAGCAAATGGGCCTCCATCAAATAGAAAAGCTTCTGCACAGCAAAGGAAACCATCAACCAAACAAAACGATAACCTAACAATCGGGAGAAGATATTTGCAAACCATACATCTGATAAGGAGTTAATATCCAAAATGTATAAAGAACTCATACATCTCAACAACAAAAAAACTAACTATCCAATTAAAAAATGGGCAAAAGATCTGAACAGACATTTCTCCAAAGAAGATGTACAGATAGCCAACAGGCACATGAAAAGATATTCAACATCACTAATTATCAGGGAAATGCAAATCAAAACTACAATGAAGTATCACCTCATGCCCGTCAGAAGGGCTATAATTAACAAGACAGGAAATAATAAGTGTTAGAGAGGATATGGAGAAAAGGCAACTTTCATACACTGCTGGTGGGAGTGCAAACTAGTGCAGCCACTATAGAAAACAGTATGGAGATTCCTCAAAAAATAAAGACTAGAACTACCATACGATCCAGGTATTCCACTGCTGGGTATTTATCCAAAGAACATGAAAACACGAATGCTTAAAGACATATGCACCCCTATGTTCATTGCAGCATTATTCACAATGGCCAAGACTTGGAAGCAACCTAGGTGCCCATCAAGGGATGAATGGATAAAGATGATGTGTATATATATACAACGGAATACTACTCAATCATAAGAAAGGATGAGAGCTGGCCATTTGTGACAACATGGATGGACCCTGAGGGTATTATGCTAAGCGAAATAAGTCAGAGGGAGAAAGTCAAATACCGTGTGATCTCATTCATAAATAGAAGATTAAAACAGCAAACAACCACATGGAGACAGAGATTGGATTGGTGGTTACCAGAGGGGAAAGAGGGAGGGAGGAGGGCCAAAGGGGTGATTAGGCACATGCGTATGGGGTGATAGACTGTAATTAGTCTTTGGGTGGCAAACATGATGTAATCTACACAGGAATCGAAATATAATGATGTACACCTGAAATTTATATAATGCTACAAACCAATGTTGCCACAACAAAAAAAATAAAATATAAAAAAAAGAAAGAAAGAAACCTGGTTCTCACACCTACAAACAAAATAAGAATCTACTTCATAGGATTGTCATAAGGATTAAATAACGAATTATTCATATAATTGTCATTATGCCTGGCAAGTAATGCTTATTAAATGTTAGCTATTATTTATTATTATAAGGCACTAACAGGTTAAGTAATTTGCTCAAGATCATATGGCTAGTAAAGTGTACTGTCTAGATTTGTACCCAGGATGTATGGCTTCAGATCCTACACTCTAAATCATCAAGTCCTTCTGCCTCCCCTTACCTTGCTGGGATAGTTTCTTAATCTACAATGATGAAGTCAGATCAGACGATACCTAAAGTACCTTCTAGAGCTGACATTTTATTCTACCAGCCTCATGAGCTTCTTTCAGGGCAGCAGTGGGACAAACAACCTTGCTCACACTCCTATGGGCTACCAGGCTAAAGTAGAGAAGTACAGCCTAGGCTTGGGATAGGTCAGAGAAACCATTCCCACATGGAATAATCCATAGGTTAAGCCAGGAATGGGTTCACTGTGAGGCCCCCTTATTATTCCATGGAGTTATATTTGTTTCTAGGAGGCCAGTAGGTCTCCCCACTAGGCCCAGAATTCACTCACATGCTTAAGCTATAATAAGCTGGAAGTCACTTATAAGCCTGCTAAGGAACCAAAATAAGCTCTAAATCTAGAATCTTTAGAACACCATGTGAGTCTTACCCTCTTGGGGGTTAAGGGTCTCTATGAGAACCTAGTAAAAGCTCTCCACCCATCCCTAGAAAAAAATCACCACATGTGCTCACTTAGACATGCAAACACCCACAATTTTACCTGCAATCACAAGGGATTCACAAATTCCCTAAAATCTTTCCCTAGACTTTAAGTATTCCTGAAATAGATCTATCCTGTGCCAGGCTTGTTCTCTCAGGATTCAGAACTGCCCCAAGATCTGGGCTAGGGTTTCTAGGCAGCTGTGTTCAGGAGACAAATCATCTATTGCAACTCAGCATAATTAACCCTGCATAGGAAAGACAAAGGGCCCTGTCATACTCCCCCACACCAACTTGTCACAAGAGAATCCAAACAGAAAAGATCTATAATTTAATCCCAAAACATCAGTGGACGTGAAAAGCAAGACCCCAAAAATACTTCATGCCCCTTTTCTACCTCACACCCATAAAACCACACAGAGCCTTAGAAGAGTTGGAAAAAACAGGTAAAAACATCCTAGTCCCCAGGGCACTGTGCTACTCCTTTTATTCCAAGAAAGGAAATCAGTCAAGATTGCCCATTAGCCTTATTAGATGACTTTCTCCCATATGGGCTTTTGAAAACTGTAGGTTACCAAAGAAACCAGATAACCTCACCCACAACTGAAGAAGTAATCAAAACAGAACATAATATTTTCCCCCAAGAGACTAGTAACAGTCCAAGTGTTGCTGAGGGTCTGGAGGAACACAGAGTCTCCTGTTTAGCTGGCAGGTTTGTAAATCAGTACAGGCTTTGGTTGTGGCAGGATATTCTGACAATTTTTATCAAAAATGTAAAAACATAAACCCTTTGATGCAGCAACTCCCTACAGATATTTCTGCAAAGGTAAGCCAAGACAGACATGTAACCACGTTTAACACAGCATTGTTTACAATGGCCCATGCTGGAAATAAGAAGTCCTGGTTGTTGAGTAAACCAAATAAATGGAATATCCTGTAGCCATTAAAAGATTGTGCTAGATCTGTAAGTGCTGATATGAAAAAAGCTCCAAGACATATTATTAATTGAAAAAAGAAGTGAAGAACAGTGGGTATTATTGTTCCTTTAATCTAAAATTCATAAAGCATACATATACATGCTGGTATATGCACTAAATTATCTTCTGGAAAGACATATGAGAAACTGTTCACTGTAGTTACCTTTAGAGAGAGTGACTAGAGACGAGAAGGAGAAGATCTATACTGATGAACAAATATTTTAAAAACATACAAGTAGGGGCCAGCCTGGTGGCATAGTGGTTAAGTTCTTGCACTCCACTTCAGTGGCCCAGGGTTTGCAGGTTTGGATCCCAGGTGTGGACCTACACACCGCTCATCAAGTCATACTGTGGCGGCGTCCCATATACAAAATAGAGGAAGATTGGCACAAATGTTAGCTCAGGGCCAATCTTCCTCAAGCAAAAAGAGGAGGATTGGCAACAGATGTTAGCTCAGGGCCACTCTTCCACACCAAAAAATCACAAGTAGACAGATAATCTAGCGATGGGTTTTTTGTTTTGTTTTCATTATATTTCTCTGAATAGTAACCTTAAATCTAACAAATGTTACTATAAAAACAAAACAATAATCTCACTTTGAATTTTCTAAAAAGAAAGAAGTCATGTTTAGTGAGAAAACAAGTGAAAAGGGGAGGAGGGTCCACAACGCACAGTAGGAAACTGGTGGAGGAGGTTGAGGGAAATCGGTAAGAGAATTAAAACACTCAACCCCCTCTTCTTTCAAGACACTGCTGACACCATGAACTACTCAAGCTTTCCTCTGGGGATGAATAGCTCAGAGCCCCACTCCAGTTGCCAGCTATTCATTACAATTGTAAGTATGGGAGAGAGAAGTTTGGGAGAAAGCTGGCGTAGTTAGTCCAAATCCTGCCTTTCGTGATATGGATGAGGCAGAACAGTTGTTCTTAAAGAGCCCGAAGTGGCAGAGAATGCTAAAGCTGAACACAGCAGACTGTCTTCCTGGCAGCAAACAAGCCTTCTTAAGCACACAGTGCAAAGGCACCACAGGGGTCCTGCCACTACACGCGTTTCAGCAGCATGGAAAAGCAAGAGCCAGGTACAGACACAATAGAGAGGGTGGGAGAAATCTCTGCTGCCCTACAGAAGGAGCCCTGCTCAACACCAGGGACACTCCTCTGGGCTGTGCAGATCTGCTGCAACGGTTCCAACCCCTCTGACTGCCCCATGGAGAGAATCAGCTAGGACTAGAAACCACCAAGGAAGATAATCCTCTCTACTTTATTGCCCTTTCATCTGAGGCCCATGAAATAAATCATAACCTCGCTTACTCTTCATGATGTTCTTCTGCAATATTGCCATACAAAGTGGGAAGTTACCTCTATGTAGAATCTGCAGAGGAGTTGTCAATGTATGTAAGTCTTTCATAAAGCAACGCTAGCTTTATGTACAGGTGCCACAAAAGGTCATCCCTCCCCCATAGGATTTAAGGGACATGAAAGAGTCCCCTAGCTGCCCCCATCCACACATTTCCCTTAATGATGCCTACAACGGCCCCACTAGTGATTCATACCATCGGTTCAGGACTGTCCTTAGTGTACTCAGTGGCTCTTAATCTTTATTGTTTAGTCACTGGTCCTTCTGAGAAACCAAAGAAAGCAAACAAACTCTGTTCTCAGAAAAATGCAGTTAGATGAATACACAATATAATTTCCATACAAATTTGGGGTTCACAGTTATCCTGAAGCCTATCTAGAGACCCCTTCCCCCCTGGGGTTAAAATCCCTGGTTCAGAGGCCATGAGTTTGTCAAATCTCCCCCACCCCCTCGATCCCCCCACAGGAGCTCCCGTGCATCTGGGGAACACTGGGCCTAAAGACACAAGGCGGTACTGGAGGGAGGCTCTCACTGCTTCATGTTTCCTAGAACTGACCCTATCTAGAGTCCAGATTACAATTTATGACTCCTCCTCAACAAGGAGTATGGATTTCTCACACTGCCTGTTCCTTGGGAACAGGGCTCCCCCCGGCTTCAGAGGCACCTGAAGATGCCAGGAGATGTCCAACTGAGATCAACTGCTAACCAGGTTCTTACAATCCTTGCTGGCTCATCATATTACCTGACAGTTGAGGCAAAGAAAAGTTTTAACTCCTTATGAATAAGGGGGGCTCACCTCTGAGGTTTTCGAATATCCCAGAGTCCCACTCCTTCCTTTGAATTAGCTGTGGCCAATAACCGGGGCTCCACAGGGTTAAACATGACACTGTGAAAGGCTGATGGATAGTTTGCCAGGCAGAAGGGCTCTGTGAAGAGAGAAATTATGATCAGTTCATCTTGGGAACCTTTGGGCCAGTGGCAGGGAGACATGCAGAAGTATAAACGGAAGTAGAAGTGCCCCCTTTTAATAACCACCCCAATGGGCTGGAACCCCAAGGTAGTATGTCATCCCAGCAGTCACCCTTACTCCCGAGGTCCCCACAAGTCCTAACACACACTTTTTGCTCATAGAAAGTCTGAAAACAGCAACTGGAACACATTTAAACAAACTTTAAGCTATAATAATACTCAGAAATTTATATAGCACCTATTCAGATCCCATGAGGAAACAGAAATTGTCACTGTAAATGGGAAGATAAGTTGTTTTACAGTAAGAAAAACTGAATTTCACATGAAGTGAAAAAATTCACAACCAGTTACTGGTAGGATTATTATACCTTAATCCAAATGTATTAGTTTTAGAAATTAAAAGTTTTAAAACTACATAAAGACTTAACAAAGACACAGCAAAACAATGGAAAAAATGAAGACAAGGCAAGACAATAGTGCAGTTTTCCCTTCTGATCATATTCTCCCTAACTGAAAAGAAAATGGCCTCAGTCTAGAATTTTATGATTTCACTTCCAGTATTAGAATACTAAAAAACAAACAAACAAAAACCATCTAATACTTGAATTTCTCTTGCATCTAGCCAGCTCCTAATCAACCTCACCCAGAAACCCTCCAGCCCTTTGCATATATTAGCTGGCTCCAGGTGAGGAAGGAATCACTTTGCTACCCGGGAGGACCAACTCCTGTGGAAGCTGTTTAGAAGCAACAGACAGAAAGCGCTCCCCAGACACTTCACAGGCCTCTGGGCAGAGGGGGCGCTTAGTCGTCTAAGCCAGCAGGCAGTTCAGACAAAGGAGAATTTCACCTGCCAAGCACCTGGTGACTCACCCACTGCCACTGCTTGCAGCTACCTTATCTGCCTGACCTTAAGAACAAGCTTCTCTTACAGCTTGAACCACAGTAATGAGCATAGCCCACATATTAAATGCTTGGAATATAGAATAATAAAAAGACCCAGATCCTACCAGACAAGCCAGGCAGGATAGTAACTCTATGAACACAGGTATGACCATGACAAAGCTGTACCAAGTGTTGGGGTGGGGGTAGCACTGAGGGTATGCTGGAGGAAAGAGCCTTTGAAGACAGGCAGAGTGACGGAGAGAAATCTCTTTGCAGGAAATGAGCTGAAAAGATGCATTTCCTGAAGAACTTCAGAGAAATTCAACAAAACAAGTTCTTCATTTTACACTTCAGAGACTTAAAGAGCATATCTGGAGGGGGACCTCACCCAGTAACATCCCTTAAACAAAGTGTATTTGCCATCATTTTAAGTTTCTATACACAGTTAAGATGAGGTTCTGTGGTTCTTTCAGAAAACAAGCCTGAAACTAGGATGCAAGAAAGTGCCTAACACACACCTCCATTCTCTGTAAATAACCAAGAATATGTGCATGTCAGCACTACACACAGAGCTGGCCCACAGTGGATACCCTCCACAGTGAGGCAGCACATCTTCCATTCCTTGGGGCCACTAAACACCAAGATACTGTGGTGTTTACTACAGGTACAAGGGTTTGTGGAGATTCACAGGGGTCTAGAGAAGGACTGGCAAAGGTGCTTCACTTCTGACTACTTTGGGGTAGGACGGGACATCCAGAGACACATATCTATGTCCCCATGTGAGAGTTTCTTCTCCCTTTACATCCCTCCCACCCAGCTTACTCAGGTCATATATTGGATCAGCAAGAACATGACATCAAACTCTTCAACACAATCCCACAGCCTTTTGTACAGGGACCCTACCTCCATGCGGAGACTCCCGGATGTCCCAGATGAGAACTCGGCCATCATCTGAGGAGCTGGCAAAAATATTGTCATTCACTGGGCTCACCGACAAGCCATATACTGCATCTTCATGAGCAAACACATCCAAGGTCTCGCTGCTGAGAGACAGAGAGCAGAGAGAGGCACACAGGCACACACATACATGCAAACGTAGGGCAGAGTCCTAGCCCTCTGCTTCCTAGAGTGGGGTTCTCTTTCATTTCCAGGAGAATGTCAACTAGCTAAACCCAAAGGATATTATATTTCCTAAAAATGTAGATATTCAACTTTTAGGTAAAAAAAACAAAGGACTATTAAAGAGACTTTTTATAGATTTCATGATAAGTTTGCTTTTTGCACCATTTAAAAGTGACTCAACAGATGAGTTTTTGTGTTTTCACCTACTACCGAACGCATCTGCTTGTGTACAGATTGGGGGGTGGTGCTTGATTTCCAAAAAGCAAGGGAAAGCTTTAAAGCAGCCAGGTCTGATGCCAGTAGGAGTAGAAGAGGGATTTCCTGGCAGTCTGGCATGGTGAATAAGAGCATGGTTCCGGGGGCAGGCTGCCTAAGTTCAGATCGTAGCACCTCCTGACCTTAAGTTACCTAAAATCTCTGTGCCTCCATTTCCTCATCTGTCATTGAGATAAGAGTATCTCCTCATAAAATTATTGTGAAGGTTACATGAATTAATACACACAAAGCACTTGGAACAGTGCCTAGCACATAGTGAGAACTCAACAATATTAGCTATTTATTTTCATTGCTATCATTAAGTATTACATTTCCTTTTCTTCCAACCTCTCCTTTTAAATTTTCACAAAAAACTTTACCTTCAGACCAACTTTGCAAATCATTTTTTTAGTCAAAATTTTATTTCAAAAATATTATAGGAATCTTTTTCAAAAGGAACAGCTGGTTTCATCTTATTTTCTTCAAAAAAAAAACTATTTTGGTCTAAAGAGATATTTGCTTCTCTTCATATGAAAAACAGACTCAGTCACTTTCACATGCCAACAATCTATTTACCTTTCAACATCATGGAGGATAACTTGCTCATCATTTCCTGTAAGAGGAAAAAGCAGATATTTGATAATTCCTGCAAAGTGGTCCCTGTCCACAATAAAATTTAGTATTTTAAAGTTTCCGGGGAAAATATGAACAAAGTCAATGTTAATATAAATCAAGAGTGTTAATACGAAAAAGTTTATAAAAGTAATTTAAGAAGGATAGGTCAGTCTTATAGAGAAATTTAAAAAGCATAATAGTAACTAGGCATAACACAGTACAATTTCTAAAATGTATTATCCAGTGGATGATGTAAAAAAAAACTGTGGCTGTTAAGGAAAAGAGTAAATGATCATGGGAAATCAATTCATTCAGCCAAGCTAGTACTGCTTTTTTTTTTTTTTAAAGCAAAAGATTCATTAACTGTGAGACCTGAAATAAAATCTGTAACTTTTCTGTGCCTCAGTTTTACAGATATCCTTATCTGTAAAATAGGGATAATAATTGTGCCTCCTGCATATGCATTTGTAAAAGCATTCAGAATAGGGCTGAGCACTTAACAAGCTCTCAGTAAAGGTTTGCTACTAACCACATCCTTTTTTTTTTTAGGAATATTAGCCCTGAGCATCCAGTGCCAATCCTCCTCTTTTTGCTGAGGAAGATTGGCCCTGAGCTAACATCTGTGCACATCTTCCTCTATTTTCTGTGTGAGACACCTGCCACAGCATGGCTTGACAAGCAGTGCATAGGTCCACACCCGGGATAGGAACTGGCAAACCCTGGGCCGCTGAAGCAGAGTGTGCCAAGTTAACTGCTACACCACTGGGCCAGCCCCTATCCCTAGCCTTATGATCTCTTATAGTGTTAAAATTTGATGATTGTGCAATTCTAAATGATAGGAAAGTTTTTATCCACAACTTTTTTCTCTTGAATTTCTCTTTATTCCATCAAGGAATCTAAAAATATTACGTCTATGATATGTGTAGTCCTGCCTTCAAATGGTTTACATGGCCAAAAATTAAAAAGCTGACTATGAAAAGACAGAAAGTAAAAAATTTCCCACTCTATGCTGAAAGCACAACCAATAGTCACTTAAATAGAAAGCAACAGCAGTAAAGATGTGGCCCAGGTCATCTTAAAGCCCTGGCTATAACTGTATTGTGGGTGCCTACCAAGTAACTCAAACCCATACTAACGCCTTCTTGATAACAGGCACAGTGCAGGGTGCTGGGGATGTGAGAAGAAAAAGGTTCTGCTTGGTCCCTGAGGAACTCACAATCCAACGGCACAAACAACTAATCACGACAAGACAGGTTATCTTGTAGCGATCTGCTCTACAATGGGAACATAGATAAAGGGGCAATTATTTCCTTCATGAACAGGGTGAAAGTACATGGCAGAAGGAGAGAACGTTTTTACGGGGAAGGAGACATTTGAACAGAAACTCAAAACTTTTACCAATGGAAGACTTAGGGGAACTGGTGGGGACTGGACAATTAATCATGACCCACGAGGAACAGCGTGCACAAAAGGCACGAGGGCACTTAAGATGGCAAGAGGATTAGAGGGCTAGGGCACAAGACGTAAGGAGAGGGAGATGAGGCCAGACTGATACACTGAGGTTTAGACTTTATCCTGTGGACACTGCAGGGTCAAAGGTTCACATGGTTGGACCTTTATTTTTAAAAGAAAACTTGTATAAGCAATGAATTATAAGGAGGGTTAGAGACTGGTAGCAGAAATCACAGAAGGACACTGCAGTAGCCAGGCCAAAGATGTGGACCTGAATCAGGGCAGTGGGTGTAGAAAGAGAACAGAAACTAAAGGATGAGTATGAGAGGCTTTCAAGTCTAGTTGGTGACTAACAAGATGTGTAAATGAAAGAAAGGCAGGTTTGAGGATGACCAAGATTTCTATTAGGCTGAACCAAGTAAAACTTGTCATTTTCGTAAGTTGAAAATGCTTCAGTGTCAGTAGTTTCTTAAAGTTAAACCTAATAACTTAAATAATTGGATGAATGGTGATAATGACTGAGACAGGGAATCCAGGGAACAAGAGGAAATTTTTGTGCAGAAGAGAAAGACTAATAATATTGGTTTTAGACCTACTGCATTTAAATTGCTTTAGGAACACACAGGTAGATATTCAGTGGGGAAATCTACAACACAGAAGAGATCAGGGCTAGAAATTTGGTGGTCAGAAAGGAGTGTAGTTGATGAAAGCCATCACTAAGAGGTTGGTTTGAGCACAAGCCATTCCAATTGCACCCTAACACAATGCTTTCAAACAGGAGCCATCCATGGGTCATAAGATCAATTTGAGTCACAACCAGAATCTTTAAAAATGAAATCGAATAGAATAAACAAAAAAATCAGAGTGTACCACATATAGTAAGGTTCAGCACTATTTCAGATATGTATGTGTGTTTCTGTGTACCACATTGCAATGTGAAAAGTTTTCTACCAAAAGAGAGAGGAAAAGTGTGAGAAAGAAAGAGAGAGGGAAAGAAACAAAGAAAGGGAGGAAGGGAGGGAGGGAAGAGAGAGAGGAAGGAAGGAAAGGAGGAAGGAAGGTAAAAAGAAATCAGTCTAATACATGTGTCTAAACCACAATAATGCAGAGAAGACAAGCTATGGGAAACCAGTAATTCCACAGTTCAATGAAATTAAGAAAAATAAGGAGTTATTTAGCACTCCTTTCTCCAAAATCCCAGCCACAGTGAATTTCACAAAGTGGAAATCTCCCTTCTTCTCACCTCCAGAGAATACTTTGGTGTTCCCACTGTTGAAAGCCAGGCAAAAAATGTTGGAATGATGCTCTCCTTTCAGCTGTATGGGCTTGACTCTGGAGTGGATAGCTTGTTCCATGTGCCATAGCAGAACCCGGCGATCATCTCCTCCTTGAGAGGGGCATAAGAATCTAGGGTTAAAACAGCTGACATTTCAAGGCTGACACTTGGTTTCGCCAGCCTTGAATCCCATCCTTTCTCAAACTGCATCTCCTCAACTCTGTGAGATTCTGGTGGAGCACATAAACCCAGAACTCTACTGCCTTAACCATCAGTTAGACACACGGCCTCTGAGCCATTCACTTATGCCAAGGAATTAAATCTTGAACAAACATACAGAAATGGAAAGGGATAAGCACTAACAGTGACACCCCCAAAGCCACCTTGTTCTGTCTTTCCAGAGACCCAGTTTAAATATTTCTTCATTTGCTATCTAAAATCTTTCCACTAATGTCCCCCTACTTTGTCTAACAGAACTTGAGTTGGTTTCGAGTGCTTGCAACCAAAAAACTCTAAAGGAATATTTCCAGCATACTAGTTTTCAAAGCACTGTCCTTGATGTGATCTCATTAACTATGGAACACTGTACAAATGACATCTAAGGAACTGTCTGTCACAGTAGCAGAATCTAGATAGAACCCAGCTCTCATGAAGCTCAGTCTAGCTCTTTCTTATGCATAATTCTCAATAGTCTGAATTAAATGAGTAATATTACACTGCATAAGCCAGCTCCTGGGGCATGACAACATATCTGTTCTACATATTCTTTATATTTGCAGATGCCTTAAAAATGTCTGGAAGGATGGAAAAGAGACTGTTAATAGTGGTTACTACATCCAGGGAATCGGATTCAAAGAGAGGTAAAGGATAAATTGGAGGGTTTTTACTTTTACTTTATATATTTGGCACTCTTTGGCTTTATAATAGCCTAAAATACATTCCTTTCCTAATAAAAATTTAAGTTAGAACAGCAGCAAACATGGGCAGCAAACCATAGCAAGCTCTATATCTCTACCAACCCTCCTCCATTCAATACAATAGCCAAAAATTATAGTACATCCATATTAGGGCATCCTATGCAGCCATTAAATCAATAAATCTATGGGGCTGGCCCCATGGTATAGCAGTTAAGTCCGGCATACTCTGCTTTGGCGGCCCGGGGTTGGTGAGCCCAGACCCTGAGTGCAGAGCTAGACCACTTGTCAAGCCATGCTGTGGCAGCAACCCACATACAAAATAGAGGAAGACAGGCACAGATGTTAGCTGAGGGCTAATCTTCCTCAAGCAAAAAAAAAAGAGGAAGATTGACAACAGATGTTAGCTCAGAGTGAATCTTTCTCACGAAAAAAAAAATTAATAAATCTATAAGAACTAACTCGGAAAGATGACCAAAGGTCTTTATTAAGGGGAAAAATAAGGTGTGAAACAGATGTGTACCAACAACCATTTGTGTAAAACAAATTTTTTAAAAGCTCCATGACAACAGGAATCTTGTCAATTTTGTTCACTGTGGAGTTCCCAGACCCAAAGTATGGACATTGAATGAATATGTTTATACTTACCTATGTTTACTTGCATTTGAATATCCAGGGGCTATAAAATAAGTTGTTTATAGTGGACACCATCTCTAGGCTAAGGTTGTTGGGAGATTTTTTCTGTGTGTGTGGTAAAATATATATAAAATGAAATTTACCATTTTAACTTTTTTTTTTTTTTTTTTTTTTTGCTGAGGAAGATTTGCCCCAAGCTAACACCTGTGCCAATCTTCCTCTATTTTGTATGTGGGTCACCAGCACAGCATGGCTGCCAATGAATGGTGTAGATCTGTGCCCAGCAACCAAACCCAGGCTGCCAAAGTGGAGCGTGCAGAACTCAACCACTAGGCCACAGGGCCAGATCCCCATTTTAACCATTTTTGAGTGTACGATTCAGTGGCATTAAGTATATTCACATTGTTGTGCAACCATCAGCATTATCCATCTCCAGAACTTTTCCATCATCCCAAACTGAAACTCTGTACCCAACAAACAACAACTTCCCCTAGCCCCTAGTAACCACCATTCTCCTTTCTGCCTCTACGAATTTGACTACTCTAGGTACCTCATATAAGTGGAAACATATAATATTTGCCCCTTTGTATCTGGCTTATTCACTTAAAATAACGTCTTCAAGGTTCATCCATATTATAGCATGTATTAGAATTTCATTCCTTTTTAAGGCTAAATAATATTTCACTCTGTGTGTGTGTGTGTGTGTGTACCATATTCTCACTCACACACACCACATTTTGTTTATCCATTCACCCATCAATGATGGACATTTGGGTTGTGTCCACCTTTTGGCTATTGTGAATAATGTTGCTAAGAACAATTGTACAAGTATCTGTTCAAGTTCCTGCTTTCAATTCTTTTGTTGGGAAACTTTTACATTGCAATTTTTACTTTGTATCTTTCTGTATTACTTGACTTTTTTGCCATAAACACATATCTGTTTATTAAAAAAAAAATTAATAGAAGATATAGTAGCCAAACATACTTATTCTCCCTCCCCTAGAAAGAAGTTGCCTTTGCTCCTTGAGTTCCTTTGTTTCCTGAGTTCGTTCTTTCTTCCATTGTTGGTCAAAATCAGGTTCTGTGTCCTCCTCTGAAGTATTTCATTGTCCACTGGATTGATCCCTTAAGTGTGTCCCTCAGTGTTCTGTGTTTATGATTTGCTTATTTCAACTATGAGTTCCCTGGCCTGGGATGGTTATCTAAATTCTATATATCTTTCAAATTTACCACTTTGTTAAACATCAAGTTAAGGTCAATGAAAACAAGGGTTTGTGTTTTTGTTGATTTTAATGAAAATGACACAAAGGGATTTTTCATCTAAAATAGATTTAGACAGGTTGTGGGCACTTTAGTTCTCCATAGTCTCTACTCTTATTGTTTTCCCCAGCACTGAGGCCACAGGTCAGAGACCTGTCACTGCTTTTGCTACTTTGTCTCTTATATTAGAGAAATATTTCTCTGTACCCAAGTCTCTATCAAAAGTGGAAAATTAAAAGATAGAGAGGCCCTGGGGCCAGCCCTGTGGCCAAGTAGGTAAGTTCCCATGCTCTGTTTCGGCGGCCCAGGGTTCACAGGTTCGGATCCTGGGTGCAGACCTACACATCGCTCATTAAGCCATGCTGTGGTGGCATCCCACATAGAAGAACTAGGATATACAACTATGTACTGGGGCTTTGGTGAGGACAAAAAAAAAGCAAAGGAAGACTGGGAACAGATGTTAACTCAGGGCAAATCTTCCTAGAAAAAAGACAAAGAAAAGATACAGAGGCCCACATCTTTCTTCTACTTACTCATGCTTCTAATCTAAGCTCCCTGTGCCTGAGATTCATCAAACATAAAATGGGGATCATAATAGCTCTACTCTCACGGGTTTTATAGATTATAAAGCCAAGTATAAGAGAGTTAAGTAACTTTCCAAGGTCACACAGTAAGTAAAGTGGTTAAGCTAAGATTCAAAAGCAAGCAGTTAAGATTCCATAGCCCCTACTCTTAACCACTACTCTAGATTGCTAGCCTTATAGAACAAAAAATGAACCATAACTGACAAAGCAAATTCATCTAGTGGACTATTAAAGGGATTCTCCGCCTTGGTAACCTAACTCAAAAAATGTGCAGGTAAGAATAAAACAAGAGGGGCTGGCCCTGTGGCCAAGCAGTTAAGTTCGCGTGCTCCGCTGCAAGCGGCCCAGTGTTTCATTGGTTCAAATCCTGGGCACGGACATGGCACTGCTCATCAAACCACGCTGAGGCAGCGTCCCACATGCCACAACTAGAAGGACCCACAACGAAGAATATACAACTACGTATCAGGGGGCTTTGGGGAGAAAAAGGAAAAAAATAAAATCTTTAAAAAAAAAGAATAAAACAAGAGAGCACAGGAATGAAAACAGAAGCTGACTTAACCGGAGTAAACTGAGGGATCAGGGGCAGGAACCAGGAAAGGATCGCCTGAAATTATAAAGATTCTAGCAGTGCACAAAACTGATAATGGTTTAATTTCTAGACTATATAAAGAGTTGCTACAAATGAATTTTTTAAACCACTAGGAAAAGAGGCAAATATGACAACTTACAGAAGAGGAAACCAAAACAACCAACAGATATTACAGATCATCTCAGCCTTGGTAGTAACAAGGAAAATGTAAATTATAATTTAGATATGTTCTTACAAAGTGGCACAAGGGAATGTACAAGATGTTCACCGCATCACTGTTCATAATAGGAAAAAAATGTAGGCAATATAAATATCCATCAATGTATAAATTGATAAATTCCCTTGGAATACAAATACAAATGAAATCTAAACCCAATGGAACATCATACAGCAGTTAAAATGAACTACAGATACATGTACCAACATAACTAAATCTTGAAAACCTAATAGTAAGTAATAAAAGCAAGTTTCAGAAGGATAGGTAAAGGATATCATTAAATATGCATTTTTAAATATACAAAACAATACCATATATTATTTATGGATAAATGCACATATAGTAAAAGGGGACTTCAATTGTATCTGTAAAATTTTGTTTCTTTTTAAAAAATAGATGGGAAACAAATTTAACAAACTGTCAACATTTTGTCAAATCCAAGTGATGTTTCTCTACTTTTCTTCATGTTTAAATATTTCATGATATTGAGGGAGTATTGTTACATCTGTTAGGTATATTAACGGCATTATGGTCATGTTAAAAAAGAAAAAAGTCCTTATCAGTTAGGGATGCATACTGAAGTAGGTGAAATGGTATATGTCTCGAATTTCCTTTAAAATATTCCAGGAAGAGTATGTGGAGAAAAGGGAACCCTCATACACTGTTGGTAGGAAAGTAAATTGGTATAGCCACTGTGGAAAACAGTATGGAGATTCCTCAAAAAATTGAAAATAGAACTACCATATGGTCCAGCTATTCTACATCTGGGTATTTACCCAAAGAACATGAAAACACTAATTTGAAATGATATATGCACCCCTCATGTTCAGTGCAGCATTATTCACAAAAGCCAAGATGTGGAAGCAACCTAAGCGCCCATCAACAGATGAATGGATAAAGAAGATGTG